GGTATGGAAGTCCCAATGTGCAAGAGAAAGCCTGATCAGCATTGAGTTCTGTGTCTGCTGAACATAAGCGGGCAGTGTGCACAGCATTGGAATGATCCACGCCAGCCACACACAAGGGCCCAGCAGAAACCCAATGCCCCTCTAAGGGCTTGTTATGTTTTCCCAGACACCCTCATTTCATGCTGCTGCTTCCAATGACGCCACAGGGTAACCTCAGAGATGAAAAGAAATTGCCTTTGAGCCCCAGAGTAACAGCTCCCTCTTTCTTCAGGCCTTCCCCTCTGATGACCCACTGTACCAGTGCGCGCTGCTGGGGGGCAGCCTTAAGGATAACACGACTGGCATTTATCTGCTTCACTGGCTTCCTCTTTCTCCGAGACAGCAGCACAAGGAGTTATTTCTGAAGCCCTGGATCCCCCAAGTGCCAAGAGACTCAACTAACTCCAGGAAACATTTGTACATTCTAAGCTCAACTCGGCAGCAATTCCCCAAGCTGCCTTTTTGGGAAATTGCTGTATTTTGACAGGAATTTGAAGGAGTACACACAAAATAGTAAAAGGGCATTTTCTGTATCTGGAATTGGAGTATATGAAGGGCAGCCTTCTTTTATGCAACGTAATCACCTGCACCACACTGGCCTCCCTGTGAACAGAGTCCTTGGCAAACGAGCCAGGTCCAAAGGCAGCACGGAAAATCGACAGGCGTGAGCCAAGCCTGACCCAGGACTGAGTAAATCCAACCAAAGAGAATGATTTTACGGCTCCCAAAGTGACCCTCAGATTGTGTAACTTCAAAGCTTGAAAAGTAACCCCAAAACGCAACAACATAAGGCAGAAAGGCCCAAGTTCTCAACCTCCTGTTAAGGATAAGAAAAAAATAACTTGCCTTTTGGCTTTGCATTTGTAAGAGGAAAGAAAAACCAGAACCTGAAGGATGGATAAAAGAAAGTGAGGATATAGGAAAGCATTACAGGCCAAAAAAAAGGTGTTCAAAGTCCCAGATGCATAAAGGAACCCAGGTCAGTCATGGAGATGCGCGTCAATTAATATGGCGGACAACAGGGTATATCTAAGGGAAGAGAGAGAGAACAAGTTAACTAGAAGCTAATGCTTTTCTCAAGCTTCACAAATGTGTGGGGTCCTACCCTATCCCCTTGCACACACACACACTAGAATTGAAGTTCCTTGAGTACAGAAATTTTTTTTTTGTCTCTTGTTCACTGACAGATTCTAAGCATCAAGAATAGTGCCTGGCACACAAGAAGAACTGAATAAATGTGTGTTGAGTGAATGAATAAACGAAGTTGTCAGTCAGTGGTTGGGTGGACCACCTAAGGGAAAAATAGAGTAGCCGTTCAACAAACAATGGATATTGTTGTCATAACTAGTATTTATGTCTGTGAGTTAAATAGGAAAACTCAGTAAACGTTGGTAGCTAATTGCGCCGAGTATTTTTATCTGAAGGGTTTAAAGAAGTTTTTTTAATTAAGGTACAATGACATGCAATAAAATAAGCAGATCTTGTGTGATCATTTGATGCATTTTGACAAATGTTTGAGATAGGGAAGATTGCTATAATTCTAGAAAGTTCCCTGTGCTCCTTTCCTATAAATGGCTCTCCTCCACAAAAGCAACCATTATTCTGATATCTAACCCCATAAACTAGTTTTGCCTCTTCTTGAACTTCAGAGAAACGGAATTATACAGTATAATCTTCTGTGTCTGGTTTCCTTTATTCAACATAATGTTTTTTCAATTTGTCCACATTGTTGTAGGTATTACCTGTTCATTCTTATTAATGAGTAGCACTCCATTTTATGAATATACCATAATTTATTTATCCATTTCCTTGTTGATGGACATTTGAGTTCTCTCTGTTTTGCCATGATGAATAAAGTTGCAATGAACATTCTTATACAAATACTATTTTGGGCATATGTTTACATTTCTTTGCAGTGAATACTAGGAGTGGAATTACTGGATCATAAGGTTTGTGTATGTTTAATTTTGTAAGAAACTGCCAAACAGTTTTCCACAGGGGTAGTAATTTTACATTCCCACCAGCAATATTTAAGAGATTCAATTGCTCCATATCCTTATCAACACTTAACTGTCAGTCTTTTTCATTTTAGCCATTCAGTGGGTGTGAAGTGTTATCTCAACTTGGTTTTATTTTGCATGTCTCTGATGATCATTGATGTTAAGCATATTTTCACGTACTTATTGGCCATCTGAGTAATATCTTTTTGAAGTGTTTAAGTCAATTTCCCACTTATAATTCTATGGTTTTTCTTTTTATTATTGATTTATAGGAGTTCTTTATATATTCTGGATATGAGTCCTTTGATATATGTATATATATATATTTATTTAATATTTTTTCCCCAATTTGTGGCTTGCTTTTTTCATTTTATAACAGTGTCTGTACTTGGGCAAAAGTTTTAAATTCTGATGGAGTCCAGTTTATTATTTTTACTGTATGCTTAATGCCTTTTGCCTTCTGCTTTCTCAGATCACAAAAATATCCTCCTATATTTTCTTCTAGAAGTTTATAGTTTTAGTTTTTACATTTAAGTCTGAAATTTATTTTAAGTTAGTTTTTGTATATAGTGTGAGCTACAGGTCAAGGTCTATTTCTTTTTTCCACAGATATCCAGTTGATCAAGCACCATTTATTAAAAAGACTTTCCTTTCCCCCATTGTCACAATTATTCCAAAAAAATCATTTGAATGTATGTTTGTGGATCTACTTTCATTATTTCATCATTATACAAGATGTTAGTTATAGGGTTTTCATAGATAATCTTTCTCAGATCAAAAAGTCTCCTTTCTTTATCATGAACGAATATTAGATTTTTTTCAAATGCTTTTTCTGCATCTATTGAGATAACTACACAATTTTCTCCTCTATTAGGTTAATATGATAAATTACATTAATATACTTTTTGAATGTTAAACCAATCTTGAATTCCTAGGATAAACCCCACTTATCCATAATGTATTTCTTTTAATATATTGCTGGATTATGATTACTAACATATTGAAAAACTCTGTGTAGATTGGTATTATCTCTTTCTAAAATGTTTGACAGAATTCACAGTGAAGCCCTGTAGGCCAGGAGTTTTTCTTGTTTTTTAAACGGGAAAGTTTTTAGTTGTGAATTCAATTTCTTAGCAAATTTAGAGATACTCAGATTGTCTATTTCCTTTTGTGTCAGTTTTGGAAGCTTGTGGTTTTTCAAGAAATCTGGCCATTTTATCTACATTGTTGAATTTGTTGGCATAAATTTTTTTATCATTTTCATGTCCATAATGTCTGTGGTGATTTCCCCTCTTGCATGTTCAGTACTGGTTAGTGGTAGCTGTGTTTTCTCTCTTTTGTACGATCACTCTTGCTGGGAATCACGAATTTATTAATCTTTTCAAAGAACTAGCCTTTGGCTTTGTTGATTTTCTCTATGCTCTGTGTTCTACTTTGTTGATTTTTACTCTTATACTTATTATTTTCTTCTTTCTACTTCATTTGGATTTACTTCACTCTTTTTTTCATAGCTTCTTAATGTAGAAGGGTAAATCATTGACTTTACATTTTCCTTGATTTTTTTATCATAAGCATTTAAAGCCGTGAATTTCCCTCTTAGCACGTCTTCAGCTTTATTCTTAAAATTTTAATACGTTGTGTTTTCACTGCCATCCCATTCAAAATATTTTCTAACATCTTCCTGATTTCTTCTTTGACCCACAGGTTATTTAGAAGGGCGTTACCTAATTTCCAAACATCTGGGGATTTTCTAGATATATTTTTATTATTAATTTTTATTTTAATGCTCTTGTGGTCAAAGAACGCATCCTGCATTATCTCAGTCCTTTGAAATATATTGAGACTTGTTTTACGCTCTGGAATAGAGTCTACTTTGGTGAATTTTCCAAGTGCACTTGAAGGAACGTGTATTCTGCAGCTGTCGGATGTAGCGTGCAAAATCTCAAAAGCTCCCCCTTCCGCTCTCCCTTCGAGGAATCTGTCACTGACCCCCTCAAAGTCAACGATTCTGTTTGCACAATATTCTCTTCTGATGCAGTTAACTAGAGCCGTGGCTCCCACACTCCATCCCGGAACTTCCTACCCCAAGGATCTCTCAGCCTCCGTCTGGTGCGCCAAGTGAAGACACTTCAAGCTGCTGAAGTAGTTCAGGGGCCATTCACTGCTTGTCAAAAAAGACAAGACAGCAACCTAGGCTTCGCTTAAGGTCTCTTTTATTCCTGTCTCATGCGATATTGTGGCCACTAATTTGAGAGCTGAATTATGGGGGAAGAGAGAGTACAAGTGGCCCAGATATTGTCACTGTCTGCATGGGATCATCTATAACTCCCCCGTGAAGACTCCTGCCTCTGACCCAGGAGATGGCTTGTGTGAGACGTGAGATGATTTTTTTCCTGCACAGTTATTTTTTATATTTTAATAGTTAATATATATGTACTAGAAAATGTGCTTTATGAGAAATATAACCTCTCTCTCCAACCTATGATTTACAGATATGGTACACTTTAGTTTTGGAAATTAGTTGATTTAAAGGAATAGACTAAGTAAATGAAAATGCAAGAGGTTCGTCCTATGGCAAAATATGTCAACGCAATACAGGATTATGAGGGTGAAGCAAACTGGTATGATCGCTGCTATATAGTCAACATTTGCTACTGCAAGGATGTGAACCAAACTCCAGTCTTTAAATTATCCTAAGTCCTTCAAGGACCTTTCCTACCGGGATCTGAGAGCCTGACCTAGAGAACAGCACACAATTACCACCGTTTGTCCACGGAAAGCATTCCAACTGCACCTTACAATCTTTGCTCTGCCTTGTTCCTAGAAAGGTCTGCCCCTGGCCCTGGGATGGGATCTGGAGCAGCTCAAAGGGAAATGTTTCGGGAAAAGGAGTAATTTGAGCCCCTTTGTTGACCACGCTGCCCTCCCTCCCCTGCATTCCGCACGCAGACGGATGCTCACCTTTTCCCATTCTCGATCCTTGTTCAGCACGATCACCACCAGCCTGGGGTGTACCTGGTAGCCTTCCTCCGTGAAGGACAAGTCTTTGCCATCCCAAGTCACATTGACCATAAATCTAGAGAGGAAGAGAGAAAGACAAGTTTTTAGGGCAAAATTAAAGAGGTGTCAAACTAAAGAATGGATGCCACCCACCAGCAGTGTAACACTGGAAAAGCGTAAATCTACACAGCATCACTCATCACAAGCAGCCTCTGCTGCGGGAGGGTTAGTACCCATGCAGGCACTGCTAGTCGACTGTGCACTCTTTTCCATGAGCCTGTTCTCACTCTCAGAATCCCCAGTCTTGTCTAGGCATTAGCAATTGACTGCAACCAGCATACGGGATGGAACTTTTCCGTCCTGTCTTTGTTCAAATAATCTTCTTACAGGAAGACCTTAAAGCATGTTCTATTATGTTTTAACAAGCTTCCCTAGAGGAAACTACTTGCTTATAAACCACCTGGTCTATGGCTTCAAAGAAACACTATCCCATCCATTCATTATTCATTCAACTAATATTTCTGAAATATTCGCTACACGCCAAGACTCAGCTAGCTGGTTGGGGATAAATAAGGAAACAGCCATGATTCTTGCCCTCGTGAAGCTTATAGTCTAAAACAGAAGACAGGCATTAATTGATTAATCACAGAGCTATGACAAGTGCTACAATTCAGAGGTGGGTGTGCTATGTGAAAGTGAAACAGGGGTCGGGCAAGGCTTCTGTAAAAAAGTGCAGCTTGACCTGAATGGTGAACCAGGATTAACAAGGTAAGAAAAGACATGACCATGTTCCTGGTAAACAGGAGGCATGTGCAAAGGCCCTGTGGTAATACATATGAGGGACTGACCGTAAATCAGCGAGGCTGACACAGAGAGAGGGGAATGTGAAATGTGATGTGGCTGAGAAGGTGAATAGGGGCAGATGGTGCAAAGCTTTTCATGTTGAGGAATTTCGTATTTGTTTTAAAACAATAGGTAGACGTTGAAGGTTTTAATCCAGGGGACGATATAATCAGACTTTTCTTGTATAGTATGACCTGAAGGCTGGGTAGAGAACGGTTGGAGAGCAGATATAGGGGGGCTGCTTGCAGTGCTTTCATTATCCAGGTGAGAGGTCATGTTGGCTTTGTTCCTGCTGTGGCCTCAAAAGAGAAGAAAGAGGAGAAGCAGCAGCAACGAACGGGACCAAGTGGAGAAATATTTAGCAGGTATTTAGTGATGGGTTCGAAGTGGGGGTGAGGGAGAGAGAGGCATCAAGGACGATGACTCAGTCTTACCTAATCTTACACAGTCTTGTGCAATCTGCCTTATACAACATCCATGCAGTCAACTTTGGGCGCAGGTATTTCCATTGCAGGTGACGGCTGTCTGCCTTACAATACCCTACCTCCACCAGTCCTCGAAGCCACCTCGCCTGTAGTCAGGCTGGACACAGATGGGGAGGCGAGGCAGAGCTCATCTCCCAGGATTTGGGGGCGAGGGTCTCCAGGGGTCCTCATCCCCTTGCAACTTGAGAAAAACTAATGTTGTTGAAGACTTTCAAGAAAACATACCCCTTAGCAGATGCCCAATAAATACACTATGTGGAATTGAAGTGTTCCAAGACTTCCCCAGAAAGACTGGGTATCCAGAAGCCATAGCATGTTCTTGCTTTATATTCCTTCAACACCAAAAGCAGCTGAAGAAATAAAATATTAAGGAGGAGGACTAGACTACAAAAAAATTCCAAAAGGAGAGATTGGCCTGACTGGTCACATGTCCGCCCCTGGGCCTGACTGTGTTGTGTCGGGGAGAATGAGGTCTCTGAGGACAAGGCGAAAAAAAACGGAGAGAGGCAAAGAACAGTATTGTGTATCCACTCAATGAACTATTTGAGTCACTAAAAATCATGTTTTGGAAGACAAGTTAATAGCATGGAGAAAATGCTCGCTATTTAATGTTAAACAAGCAGAAAAGAGGAGAAAAATAGGGCTGGTCTCTGCATAGAAGCATTACAGGTACTCTTTATTTTCTTTTGCGTATCTTTGCATTTTCCAAATTTTCTGCAAATACTTATTTTTTAACAAAAATACTGTTTGTTAAAAACCAGAAAAATAAAACACTGCTATTCCAGAAGAAGCAAGGAGTAACCACTATTCTGTTTGGTGCATTTGAGGTATCTCAGGCATTTCCTAGAGAGGTATTTTATTGATTCAACTATTTACTGAATGCCTATGTATCAGGCCTTATGATGAGTCCCCTAGACACAGAAATAAAACACATAGTGTCTGTCCACTCTCTTACCCATATTCTTACAATTCGTCGACAGACACATAAACAATGGCAGCACAGAGAATGCCACTTGAACATCGACGGGCCGTAAATGTGAGAAGTTGTGAGAACGCAGAGGAACGGCTCTATCTCCATCTGAGGGATTTAGGGAGGACTTCCTGGGGAATCTTGAAGAGGGAAGGGGTTGAGGAGAGCTGGGAGAAAAGGATTCTGAGCAGAGGAAGCATCTTGAGTCAAGGAGAGCCCGCAAGGGGAGTGACATAGGCTGGGAGAAGCAGGATAAAGCTGAGCGGGATTTGTCTGGAGAAGATCCCTGAAGCCAGATCATAAGGGACCTCGTATGACACCCTAAAAGGTTTAGATTTTATTCAGAAAGCCCTGGAGTTCCATGAAAGGTTTTCAGAAGAGGAGCGATGCACTCTGATTTGCTGTCATTGGAAGCAGAAGTAACAATGTTTCTTTGCGTTTGAAGACAACGTCAACATTTTTGTTTATGGCTAAAAAAAATTCACTATTAAGACAATTGGAACTTTTTTTTCTGTTTCTTCTTTCCTCTGATGCCTCCTGGCTGGTGTTTGATGAGCTAAATAGATGCAGCCCAGAGAGGCACATCTAAGGAGGTTCCACTCACATTCCCTTACTGAGACTCTTGAGAAGATATTTGCATGGACTAGGGTTAGAGGAGGACTGAATTTTGGTCAAATTCCTCATTACCAACCAGCTTTTAAAGTAATTAGTTGGGGCCGAAATCAAGCTGCTTATATTTTTCAAGTCGACTTTTTGGTTTTGCTCCCCATGGTTATTTTCAGTCTTCTCACATCGTCTGGCACACTGTAGGGGTGCACTTAATGTTTGGTGGTTGAGTATGTTGACAGATCCCCACCAGAAGTGTCATCTATCCATTCACCAATACATCTGTCCATCCATCTGTCAATACATCCATCCATCCATTCATCCAACAGACATGCTTGAGTACCTACTATGTGTCATGCCCACACCAAGAACTATGCTAGAAAAATGACACGAAAATAGCCAAACATTTCAGTTTTCAAGGCTTTAGAGAGGCACACAAATAATTGCAGTAAAGAACAGTAAGTGTGAAATTAGAGGTAGGTACCAAGTAGGTTGGTGAAGAACACGAGGAATGGAGTGCCCAGTTCTAGTGTGGAGGCAGGGCTGAAGTCAGGAAACCAAGTGGGAGATGTTTGGGTTGTGTTGGAAGGAAGAGTAAGAGTTGGCCAGGTGAATGGCCAGGGGAAAGGAGGGAGATGCTGCATGGAGGAAACTGCAAAGCCAAAGGCACAGAACTGTGAAACACCCTGATGGAACTCTGTTCATGGAATTTCTACAGAACAATTGCAGACAAAGACCACCAGTGCATGGCCTTCATCTGGGCTAGTAGAAAATCCGTTAGCAAGTCCCTCTGTATCTGCTGCCCAAAACTCAGTTAGACCAGCCAAATCAGTGAGGTATTTCTTTTTAATTATTGAATCCACTGAGCTTTCAAGCCAGGTTTTAATGATCCAACACTCTGGGATGAATAGAGTTCAGGTCGGATCAACCTAATGCCCCAAATGTGGGTGAAACTAAAAATTTTAGTCAATTATCAAGAGGTTTGGAAATATCCAGTGTGTTAGGTGTTTGGAAAAGGCAGGCCAGAGAACAAATGTTTGGGTATGACATAGACATGTGACGCCAGGAGGAGCCATACACGGGGTTACGTCGCGTGAACCAAACACCACAGTCACCGTTTCAATAAGGAAGCCGACGTGTGCTGCTGAGACCCAGGTCTTTGGAGTTGTCAGTCGAATTTACTTAAATCTCGTTCTTTAATTTCCCATCTCCATCTCCTCCGCTCATTCCCTTGTCTCCCATTTTGTAGTGAAATCAGATGGAATTACCAGGGTGATTATTTACAGGCAATCACTCCTCTTCAGATTATATGGAGATCCTCATGCTCCAGATTTTTCTGTGTTCCTTTAAGATTCAATATTCTGGACCAATGAGTCCATACACTCAATGTTAATAATGTCTCTTTCTTTTTTATTTTTTCCATTAAGAGTCTTCAGTACCTTGGAAGGGGGAAAAAAAAACTCTAACAGAAACTTTTGCTGAGCAGTAATTTCATTATGAAATTGGCAGGGAGCAAGGACCTATTACCTTCGATTTCCCCATCCAATTTCTAGGAAAGGGAGTCTGTATTTCCTCAGGATTTCTTCCCATCTAAACTTGCTCCAGAGCAAACTTCTCTACCTAGGGAAATACCATTATACGCCCCATTGCTTGGTCCCCATTAACACCTGCTGGGCACTTGTATTAAACAGTAAAAGCTCACCATTTTGTTTCTCTCTCAAAAATTGATTATAAACTTTTAGTGCCCAGATAAAAGATCAGAAATTCTGGCTGCTGCTAAGCTTCACATTACACCTTCAATCTTTCCATCAGGAGCAATAAACACACAAAAGCCTGCTGGTGAAATATAGAAGGGTGGGGGGCTCTCATGGTTCACAGAGGGTCCACTTCTGTTATCATCATCCATCGACGGTAAATGCCAGGTAGTTGTTTTTTTTATTGTCAGTGACATACACAACACTCAGCCAGAAAATATGAAAATTATGTGACACACATACAAGCTTCCTTTGGTATCTATAGTCCTAGGTGTTTGAAGCTGAAGTCCAGGTGAAAGGAACATTTCTCTACTGCTTGTATTTTGTGCCTTATGAATAGCTGATATATGGGGATCAGAAATAACACTGAAAACTAAGTAGGCGTAGGGGCTAGCCCAGAGGCGTAGCAGTTAAGTTT